TTATTAACATCTACCACAATTAAAAATTGAAAAAATATTCACTTATAATAATTCATCTACCTACAGTCAGTTGTTTTTAGACTGTCTATAAGAATTATTTTAGTGGTGAGTAAATTATAATTTCGTCAGGAAGATTGCAACCAATGGACATATTGAGAAGTGAAAGTAAATGACGAAAAACTTACCGATTACCAAGAGAACTAAACCTAACAACTGCAACATTCGCGCCATTTCCACTTACTAACAGACACTTTTAAACAGACTTACCTTTTAACCACTTCTATTCAGTTTGCTGGACGATTAAAAACTCGACCTTGTGACATTCTTTGAATGGGTCAGGCTTGTGACAGACAAAGAAATGAAAATAATTTAAAATGTTGCAGCACTTTCATCAGAAATCACTCTGTACATTTTGTTCTTAACTAAGGCAACAAAGATATCGTTCTTTTGTTTTCTTTTTGCATATACAGAGTGACTCAAAATTTCCCAAACACGAGTTTCAAACCACCATTATTACCATTTTTTAAATTTCCGGTTTTCTTAAGACTTGCAGTACATGGGGTGCCATTTTTACTTATGAAGGACTAAAATGTTCAGAAAGTAATCGATACTGCGCGCAATTTGTACCACAAAGATACTGAGAAACCCAAAAACGGTAACAAATCGTTAAAAGATGCTTTCCGACACATGATTGTTTCAATGACGTAACTACTGGGTTCCATGTGCTCCATGGAGCCCCACAGGACCCCTAAGGTTTGAAGACTTTAAAAGTTTACTGTCGGAGATGTATAAATGTTCAACATCTTTATCTCAAAATCGAAAGCGTCACCTTAGAAGCCATTTTGACGAATGAGTCAACACCTTCACATTGAAAGTGATGAAAAAAAAAATACAATAGAATTATCATAACTTATTGCTGTTTGTTTCTAACCATTCCAGTTACCATATTCTTTAAAAAGTGCCCCAAAAACTCTAAGATAACTAATAAAGTATAAGATGAAAGAGAAAAAAAACTTTTAATTAACAAATTTGTTCAATTTTTCTGTTTCCTGTGGTCTGTACTCCTAAAATGTAGCATCGTGCTACAGATGGCGTTTACTGCGCCATTTGTAGTATTTTCTTCAATAATTGTTCGTTTTCTTCTTTTTCAGAGTAGCTAAATGGTAAAAAGGTAACCCTTGTTCTTCTTTATGTGCGACTGTCAATCTTTCGTTGGCAATATGTTGGCAATTATTATTTCGAATGCAGCTACATGCTTCAAACATGGATAGTATATTTTATATTTACCAGAAAGGTACTCCTTTACGTAAAAATAGTAACAATAAACTTAGAATGAAACGAAGACAAGTACTTAGTAATTCCTCTACAAGATTGGCTTTCATATAGCAAAATTGTAATTATAAAAAGAAATAATGTTTAAAATTGGTTTAGTTTTATAAATTCTTATATAAAATTTAGTATTAGATAATTCCAACCTTATATCATTTTATAATAAGAGCAGAGTATAAAGAAACCATTACGTTACTGTAGTCTAAAATTTTTGTTAAATTTGGTATTTGCACGACTGCATTACAGAGAAGTAAATATGTAATGTTAATTTTGAGTTTCTAACGTTTTTAATAATATTGTTTGTAGTTGAAAAGAAGGCAGGAGTGTTTTTCTGTTTTAAATATTACATTATCACTTAATGAAAACTCAAACATTCTACTAACTAGGAAGCTTTATTTTCTATATGTTTAAGAAATTACACCTAATTAAATTAAATTGTTTTAGTATTATAGATTTAAATAAAACGCATTTGAGAAAATGACGTTTATATCATAATGATCTCAATTTTTACTTTAGTTATTAGTACTCATGTTTATTAATTTGTAGTCGTTATTAGTAAAATTTTTAGCGCCAATAATATTTAAATACAAAAAATATTGATGGCCCTTAGGTAGCGCCACTAATCGGAATCTAAATGGTGACGCTCCACAATTGCTCTAGTAGATGGCAGGCAAGTGTATATTTAAGTCAGTCATTCTTGTTGTCATCCTTTTAAATCACAGTAGATGGCTCCACCTGGTTATTCTTAATTACCAATTTTTTAATTTTTAATTTTATGAATTAAATAAATTGGTTACATATACATTGCACTTTCCTTTAAACAAATACTTCAATTCCATTTTATAGTCAAATTATAACACTATGAAGAGTAATATATGATTTATTTATCTAGTATAATGTATATTGTACATAAAAGCATTACATATTCTTTCTAAAAAGGTTGTATATCTTTAATATGATGATTTACTTTGCGGGGGCTATTAGTGCTTCTAATTCTTTAATTTCCCTTTCAGAATTTATTTTCTTTTCAGCTGCTAATTTTGCTTCTCGTGCAGGTCTCTCTTTCTCTTCAAGTTCTCGTCGAGCATTTTCTCTTCTGGAAAGTCTGCTTTGATGAAAAGCTCCATAAAGAACTCCTGCTGATAGAAAACTCCATCGGAAAAACTAACAATAAAAGAAAAGAACTTTACTGCCTGAGCATCCAGAGATTACATAACGATCCTAAAGACACTTTAACCATATAAAAAGAACAAAAACACAACGTACCTTTATAACAGGCGAAACTTTTACTGGAGCTTGAAGTGCAGACATATTTAAGTATATTTAAAAGATACTAGAATTTTAAAATATTTCCAAATGACTTATACTAACCTAAAAACAACTCTTCTGACAGACAGTTTTGATAACATAGAAGTTCAAGTTTGCCAAATGAAAGAAATTATTTAGTGATGTTGCCAATGCTACGATATAAAATCTACTACAACTTCTGTTAGTGAAAATTTTCGTAAAGACGACTAAAATAACTGTTACTGACATAATTCTTTGCAACTAATTTATTAGAAGAGTATAAATAATATATTTTATTAGTTGATTAAGTATGAAACTGTAAGTAAACAGGATAACTTCTGTGGTAACCCCATAGATTAGAATATCCCTTATCTACGGGTATACTCCATAGACAATGGAAGCTAGCCAATCCGTTGTCAGCTGATTGAATTCATTCATAGAAGTTTAATTAATCCAACTTTAAATTAGAACTCAACGTTTGGATACTGCATCCTTTATTATTAATAATTTAAACTTGAATGTTGAAATGAACACGCAGTTGCTAACGTTTAACATTTTTATCAATCCGAGCTGTTGTGTTCTAGTCATTCCTATATGTGTGTATGCCTAATCAACTTATTTTCATTCGCTTTGCGCACAATGTGAAAGTTTCCTATCGACCAGTGAGTGTGTAGGATGCTCTTGCTTGAGTGTACCGACAGTGAACACTTATAAGTTAATTGTAATGATTTCTAGTTGCTTCTAAAGTTGTTTTTTGTGCGAGTGTTGTTCTTAACCTAAATTATACAATAGTGAAATTTACAATGACGGTGGTGGCTTCAACGTTATCCGTGGTCGGATCGTTATTTCTAACACCTTGTTTGATGCTACTTTTGTGTATTATTTTCTTAGCTTCTATCGGAAAGTCATGGGGTATTCGCAGACTTTACGTGCAAGTTTTGTTAATGATCTTTGAGGTAAGGTGCTTTAATGAATCTATTTATAGTTGAATGATGATTGTGTTTATTTCGTAGTTCCTTAATTTCTCATCATTTCACTTATTTGGGTAAATTTATATTTCACTTTTTGCTAAGCCTGCATACCACCTATCAAATTATTGGTACAAATTCAGATTGAATGATGATAGTCTTAAGGTGTCAATTAATTGAATACCTTCAAGTTATTACGGAATACCTACCTATGAACTCAAGCAGAAGTTCGTTGAACCTGAACTCCAATATTTTTTCTTTTTTAAGACCAGGTACCTATCTACTTGGCAAGAGCATTATTTTTAATTTACCTATAGATAAATGCTTTATCCGTTGTAAGTTTATGACATTTTATAAAACAACATTCAAGAAATGATAAATTGCTAGGAATCGGTAAGGTCAAAGGTTGGAAATACCTAGGTACATTTTACAAATAAAAAAGAAGACAAAAGGGGGTAGGCGTTGTGTAGATTTGAACTCTTAACACTTATCAGCATGTTAAATGTATTAATCTTACAACGCGAATGAACGGTTTGTCCTTTTTCAGTGAACATAATAAATTAAAATATCAATGGGTTTTAACTAAATTAACAAATTAATATACGTTAAGAGTTATTGCATCTACAAGGCTGGATTAAATTTAATTCGGACTTTTTGTTTTAACGCTTAGTAGACAAAGCGAGTAGCGCAACGTTTTGGTGTATGTTGGGTGGGGATATCAATATGAGGGTAGTTTAGTGGCATGGCTCACCAGAGCCGATTACCTGTTAGTAGCATCATGTTTGAGCAAGAGGTTGAGGAAGTGAGTAAAACTCTAAAAGGACCCTTTCAAGTATCTCAGTCGACGACTCATACAAACACTTCTTAAGTGGCCAAGAGTCAGTTAAAAACTAGAGACTACGGTCAAGGAAGCATTAATGCAATTCGTGGTCTGATTAAATGTGCCCAGCGTATTACAAGTATGGGGAATTGCTGCAAAGGTTGGGATTTCATTCGAGAGTTGGGTTGGGTTGGGTTATCAAAAATTATCGGTAAGATGGGTTTCTCACTTCTTGACGGAAGAACAGAAAGCAAATCGCCGTGGGGTCTGTGAAAGAGTTCTGGTGAGATACCTAGTAGAGGGGGGGTGATTTTTGAAACATATTGTTACGTGTGATGGGACGTGGCTGTATCATTACACCCCGGAGTCAAAGCAAGAAAATATGGATTGGCGGAAATATGGAGAAGCACCCTTGGAAAGCCAAGACTAATCTTTCTGCAGGAAAAGTCTGCAACTGCTTTCTGGGTTTGATTTTCTTCATGAGCACCCCACAGTTAACACAGTACTCCTACCGTGTCCTTGATAGAGGTAAAGTGGTCTTTTGGCGAAAAAGACGGTTCGATTCCAGGTCCTTTTGCCTTAACCTGTGGATTACGTGGTTCACATCGGCAAATTCTGAGAAAGTAATATTCCAGTTACTCTTTTATGTCTTTATTTCGTCCGTCTCATCTTTCATACCCCAACCATCCATTCTCATGATTCCTAAAAGGAGGTTGAGGTTTAATTCAAAGGGACTTCCCATATCTGGTGGCTATGAAACACCCAAAGGTTTTTTTTTTTAGTTTTTACCGTCCTTCGCGGCGTTTTCACCCTCGCCCTCAGCTAGGTTAGCAGTCTCTACGGGGATGATGTTAAAATACCCTTCTAATAACAACAAATGCGATTTATAACCTGAGCAGTTATGCTGTAATTTTTCGACCCTTTGAAATAAGTAAAATCATATTTTTGGGTCAGGGTTTTGGTAAAGAATCGTATACGGGCCTGGAGAACAAAGAACAACTCTCTCCCTTTATCGAGTTTGCAATTCATACTCGTGAGTGCAGTAGTACCATCCCCTGGTGCGTAATCTGGGGGAAAGGCAGCATGAAAGGGGTCAATATTGAAAGTGACATGCAGGATGGAAACCAATCTACTTGTGTTAGAAATTCATACTGATGATTGGTGGTTGGCAACAGTGTTGTATATTTCGTGGATCGCTGAATTCTTATTAGTTTAAATGTTACAGTGGAATAACGCTGGTAATTTATGACTCTTAAGAAAATTTTGAAAAATTTTGATAGTGAACTTCAGTGTGGCAAAGACAACATTGTGTATTTAGCGTTGGCATTATCAAGTCAATTGTGAATAAGGACAATCTTCTGGGAGTAAGGTTGGTTTCAGAAGGTAACTATTAAGTATGTTTATCTTGGCGTGGTGGAGGAAGTGTGACTAGCCGTATTAAAACATGAACGTCTACAAAAATAGATTGAGAAAACTATTGCAAAGAAAAGCGACAAGAAAAAGGTAGTAATAAAGGTACTCCAACAAGACACAGACAAAAAGGAGGTTGTTGTTGAGCAGTTGTGAAAGTAGTGACACCCGCGAGTTTGCCAAGTCTGATGATTCTTGTGAAATAGATGATAATATCCTTAAAATAGACCATAAGTTGGACAGATTTAGTGTTGCAGAGTTTGTTGTTCTGAAATTTTTAAAGAAAAAAGTTGTGTGACATTTTGTTGGAGAAATAATTGAATTGCGGTCAGACAGCGAAACTTTTTAACCATAACATTAACAAGACTTCCTCCAACGGAAAAACCTATCAAGATTGTCTCTTCTATGCGGCTCAAGTGTTTTGGAAGGGATATAAACAATAATTGCTACTGTTATTTTTGTTAATCAGAAATATGACTTTTTGAACTTTATTTTTTAATAAAATTTATGCACTAAATCTGTTCGCCTGTTAATAATTACTATTTTATATAAAAATGCTCCCTTTCCTCTAATATATTAACTTCTTCCACGTAGAAAATGGTAAAATTCTCTATTAAAGAGTAAATGCTGTTTCTTACTCTGGAGGAAATGTTGCGCTTTGGTCCCTGAAGTCAGAGAAAAATACCGTACTATTTGTAAAAAGAAGAAATGATGACAAAGAAATGCGTAATTTTCATATACTTGATACTAGTGTCCGACCGAAACTGGTTTTTACGACCGAAACCGAATTTCGGCAACGGTCTCAGTTTCGGCCGAAACTGAAACCGAAACATCCTTATAAGGATCATGTTTTGAGAGAAAAATAAAGAAAACGTTATTATAATCAGTCAGTTTTATTTTTTTATCTTTAAATCACATACCTCTGCAGTCTTTGACATTTTCACTTATTGATAATCAAATCAAAATCAACATAACAACCCCTCATTTAAGGAAATGCTTTAATTGCGCCTTAAAAATACTTAAAATACTTCGCTTGGATGGAATTTAACGCGCCGCACATGACCGAGCAGAGCGCGAGAACTCCCGAACGCAGTTTCGGTTTCGGTCGTAGTTTCGGCAGGTTTGCCGCCGAAACCGAAACTAAACCGAAACTCGTTTTTTTGCCGAAANTATATAATATTAAACATAAAATTACTTTTGTTATTGTTACCTAATATCACAATAGGTATAGGAACTTAATATTTAAGTAATAAACAAAACAAAATAAATCACTTTTATCTTAATTAAGAACAAATTAGCTTTTTCTAAACTTAATTCGTCATGTTGAACGCACCGAACATGACCGAGCAGAGCCCGAGAACTCCCGAACACAGTTTCGGTTTCGGTCGTAGTTTCGGCAGGTTTGCCGCTGAAACCGAAACTAAACCGAAACTCGTTTTTTAGCCGAAACTCGACCGAAGCCGAAACCGGAACCGAACTTTCGGTCGGACACTACTTGATACTCCTATATTGCTAGTATCTGTATGTGGAGGCCTTCCTCATTAGAAGAGACAGCAGCTGCATACTTCTATCTCACTTATGTATACCCGATGCGTTATCTGCAAGCTTTGCGACTGTAGTGGGGAAGTGGGCATTCTAAATAAACTGAGCTAACTTGTAAACATTTACAATTTTCATACATTCGCATAAATGAGGGAGACAGACTTACGTATGTCTGCACCGTTGGGTCACCATCTCTTTCCAGAACCCCACTAGCAATATAGGAGTATTAAGTACATGGTAATTTCTGTGTTCGGTGAACTTGTTGCTTTACTTGTATATATAAATATAATAACCGGTAATTATATATAATCATGGGATTAATCACATTTACTGTAATTGTATACCTACACTATAAACCTCTCACTCATTCGAATACCTAATAAGGGGC